AGGGGTCTTGGGGAGAAAAAGGAAAAATAAAATCTTTAAAACAAAAACAAAAATGTCAACGTACATCAAGGAATGACCAGCTTTTTTATAAAGGATTCATAACTGGATTCTTTAAAACAGTTCCCTAGTCAAATCAAAATAACAAGTATTACCAAAATATTTTGCTCCGAAATTTTAAAGAACATATTCTTTGATTAAAATATGCCAAATAAGTAGTGAGTCTTTTTACAGCATTTTTTGAAGAATCATTATTTTTGGCCATAGACATTTAGACTGCGATCTGCAGAGACTTAAAGAGATGATCCGGTTTACGTCTTGCACACTCTCACAGGCACCATAGCACAGCAATCAATAAGACTGGCTGGAAGCTGGCTGATTTGAGACCTGCTTCCACCACTTTCTAGAGGATATTCCTGGGCAAATTTAACCAGTCTGTGCCGTAATTCCCTCATGAGTAAAACGAAGACGATAATACTATCTCACTGGGATGTAGTTTGGATTAGATAACTTAACAGGAACACAAGGCTCAGACCAGTGCCTGCATATATTAAGTGCTACTTAAGTGCTATTACCATACAAAGAAAAAAAAAAAAAACAGATCCAGAAGCTGTGACTTGCCCAAAGTTCACACAAAGAATTCTCTTCTGGTTTCCTAGCTCAAGTCCCTTTCCCCTTCCAAAAACACAATGATCATGTTACTTCTTTCGGACCAAACATTCAAAACCAACTAAACTCTTCAAAACAACTGGCGATGCTCGAGCACTAGGCTAAGCTGATGGCTAGCAATCCCTCCAACATAAAAATTCATTTTTACCTACTAGTAATCGGTGTGTTTTGAATGAACTCTCAAGAATAAATACTACTAATCACTTAAGTCATCATTACGGCTTTTATAAAACTTTCCAGTTCTTTCACAATGAAACCACAGTATTTTATCTTTCTTAATCCTCAACATGACTCTTCAATGAGCCATTTTACTACATACATGTGGAAACTGTGGCTTAGAAAGGTCTAGAAGGCGGCTATGATAAATTGGCAAAACTATTTTCTTCACTCTCTCCAAGGCAATTCTCGGATATTACAACGAAGCGAGCAAAATAGATTAAAGTTGCTGCAGGAGCGGAATATTCTTTCGTTCGACGCAGTCCAGCACAAGGAGAGGAACAGGCTGAGGCGCTCTCAGAAAGCGGGCAGGTGCAGGGGGGAGCGCCACCTCCCTTTAACTGACCCCGTTCGGCATATCATTTTACTGGAGACGAGAGCGCGGGACCGGCGGAGTCAAAGACAACGACTGAAAAGATGGAGAGGATGACTGAACGATGGTGGAGAGAACAGCGAAGCCGAGCCCACGGGCCAAGGGAAAGAATAAACGGATACAAAGGAACGGGGGCCGCCGCAGGCAGACGTGAAGGCGAGGGGTGGGCAGGGGCGCACGAACGGAGGGCGAAGCGGGGTACAGAGAGCGCGCAGGCGGGCCCGAGGCGCCGGGGGCAGGAGAGCCGCGCACCGGCTGGGCTCGGTCGGCGCGGCCCGGGCTGGAGCCTGCGGAGCAGCTCGATAGCACCGAGGCCACAGCCCTTCCCCACCCCGAACCCCAGCCGCAAACCCAGGCCCCATGCCCCGCTCACCCGCGACCACCAAGCCCAAGTGGAAATGGCCGCACTTCCGGTGGGAGGGACGTGCTGCCGCCGAGCCAATGGGCACCGCAGAAGGGGCCGACAAAGGCGCGCCTGCGTCAGCCTGACGACGCACAGGGCGTAACGGTGACGCGGGGGCGGGGCCCGGCGCGGCTTCCGGCGCGGCAGCCGTTGGCTCAGAGCCTGCGGGAGCAGGGCAGGGCTGGGAGTCCGAGGGTCCGCCCCCAACGCCAGCAGGAAAGTCATTGAGCCGGGAAAGACGCCAGAGCCGGTGGTTCGCTGCCCACAGGGAAGGTTACACCGTTTGCACGGGATCGCTGGGATCTTTTCGAACGCAGTTCTGGCTAAGTTATTCACTCGGCTAGTTAAGAGTGTCGTACAATTCAAGGGCAGGAAAAATTAATATTAAAGTCAGCTTGACAGCTAGATGTGATCAGAGACCGTGTTCGGAGAATATGGAGAAAATGGGACCCTTACACTGCCGGTAGGACTGAAAATGGCACAACTACATTGAAAACGAATGGGTTTCTCAAACGTTTACTAAAGTTACCATGTGATCCAGCAATTCCACTCTTGGCACATACCCAAGAGAAATGAGAACATGCCTACCCAAAAACTTGTACTACACGAAGGCTCACAGCAGCACTATTTGTAACAGGTAAAAAACCCCACAAAACCGAAATGTTCAACTCATTAAATAGCCTACTCAGGGAACGAACTGTTCGTCAATAACAAAGTAGAAACATCCTGCAACATGAACCCTGAAAACATTGGGCTAAGTCAAAGCCAGTGACAAAGGGCCATATAAGGCAGGCGCTCTATATCCCCCTGCAGATACCAACAGATGAGGGTATTGTGATGTCACTTGTATCAAATATCCAGAATAGACAAATCTATATAGACAGAAATACTAAGTGGTACCCTAGGGCTGGAGTGACAGCTAACCACTGCCAAGGTCCCTCTTTGGGATAATGAAATGTTCTAAAATTGACTATGGTTACATAAGTGACTATACTAAAAGCCAGTGAACTATGAATTTGTGAATTGTAACAGTGTGTCCAATCTCAAAGTGGTTGGAAAAAACTTTCAGACATTTCCCCATGTTCAAATTCTGTCTTATGCAAAGAAACACCGAGAGGTTCAAAACAGCATGTTTATGAACCAAAACCAATGGCACAGGGCGAACAATGTGTTTCTAATTCTAATCAAAAGAAAGAAGAGAGCTTGTTTGACCCATCTTGTGAGGACATTTGAAATATATTTACTAATAAAGACAACCAGCGTTCTGCTTTTATTTATATTTGCATTTATTTTATGCTGAATTTATTCCCGGGCCATAAGTTTTTGTTTCTTCAGTTTCTTCTGGGATATCTGGGGGGAAAAATAAAAGGACTGTTAAGTTTCCTGAAGAAACCCAAGCTACATCTTAAAGGAGTAGGTCAAAGTTGAGTGAACTAATTGGAAACTTCAACATAAGGGAAAAAGTCCTTTAGCGGAGAAAAGGGGTATGGGGGGAGGGGCAGACAGGAGGAAATCTAAAGTGGAGGAGAGCCGACTCTTCAGAGGCAGGGAGCCTAGCTGTTAAAGACCAAGTGGCAGCAAGGATGGAGGATAACATTTAAGTGATAAAATCAACAGAAACTAAATTCATTAAATATGAAGGGAGGAGTCTAGAATCATTCCCAGTTTCTTTGCTTGCTTCATTTACTAAAAACAAGATTATCAGATTTGGGGGGGAGAAGGGTGGTGGAGTGAAGGGAGTGGCCCATTTTTGGACATGTAATTGTTTTTTTAAAGATTGGCACCTGAGTTGACGTCTGTTGCCAATCTTCTCTCTTTTTTCCCTCCTTCTTCCCAAAGCAGCCCCCCGCCCCTCCGGTACAGAGTTGTATATTCTAGTTGTAGGTCCTTCTGGCTCTGCCATGGGGGACGCCACCTCAGCATGGCTTGATTAGCAGTGCCATGTCGGGGCCCAGGATCCGAACCAGCGGAAAACCAGGGCCACCAACGCAAAGCATGCAATCTTAACCAGTCAGCCACAAGGCTGGCCCCAGAGATATTGCATGTGAAGTGGCCGTGGACATCTAGCTGGGGCCATCAGCAGATAATCACATAGTTCTGATGTACTGAATAAAAAGTTCTACTTACTATTAATCAAGAAACAAACGAGACCCACGAAAGCCAAAACAAAATGAGTAAAAAACTGCCGGTTGCTCAGAATAGTATTCTTTCACGGTTGTTCCAAAGGTGTCCTAAGTTAGTCATCACAGCAACCACAAATCTAGTATCACACACAAATGAAGCTGAGCAACGGCCGAGTAATTTACCTTTTTCTTCTGTGCAACCTCCTCTTCTGGTTTAGGAACGATTTGCTCTTTTTCAGTAAGGATCATCTCGATGTGGCAGGGAGAGCTCATGTAGGGGTTGATCCGACCATGGGCTCTGTATGTCCTGCGCCGCATCTTGGGAGCTTTGTTCACCTGGATATGCTCAATGACCAGAGAATCGACATCCAAACCCTGGGAAGAGGAAAGGGGGAACAAAATCAGACACCATCTTTATCATTTAACATTACTGGAAAATCAAGTCCCTGCCTTAATGAGACCATTTTTGAAAGGCAATCCGTAAGACTTTAAACAGCTTATTTGTTCAAACACTTGTTTTCACCTTTATTCTAAGTGCCCTTCCTTAAATCTAAGGACGGACCAAAACTCAGTGCTAAATGCACTTTGTTTATAAGTGGCGTCCTTAAAAGTCATAAGGGGAGGGGAGTTACAGGATCTGGTAGTGTCAATTTCTAAGCCTTGATATAAGTAAGATTTTGGCAGCATGAATTAGCAGCTAGAAGGGTTACAACAGCCAGAAAGACCAACATTAATTCCACTTTTGGACCAGAATTCCAAATGCAAAATGGTAATGGATGATGGCCAAAATGGATAAACCTGTCTTTGGTTGATTAATATCACTTGATTTTAACTTAACTGAAATTTAACATGTCTCTCCATTACAAATGTAGGCAACAAACCACATGTACCATTACAAAGACAATCAATTTGGTAACTTATTCCTTTGTAATACTAGGTATTTTATCATCTGTATAACAAATCTGCACAACAGCAACATTAATGGAACAATCATCCAAGTTGGATGCATATAAAGATGTCACAGGTTCGGGTACCTTAAGTTCAGCATTACTCTCTGCATTCTTAAGCATGTGCAGTAAAAATTCAGCACTCTTTTTGGGCCACCGACCCTGTGTCCAGCCCCACTGTTTGGCCTGAAAGAAAATGGAGAGACTATTAGTCATTTCCTGATTTAAATCAACGTTACAACCAAGTTGCATTTATTTTATCCAACATCAAGGTTGCTCAGAACATTGTTTTTTTCATGGTTAATCCAAAGGTGTCCTAAGATTGTCATCACAGCAACCAGAGTCTGATTACAGGCAGGCCTTAGCCATTCTCACCCCATTCAATCACTTTCCCTTATACTCTGCCTTTTCAAATGGCAGCCACGAATTCTCACCTGGGCACACCTACCAACGCCGCCATTGTATCGACGGAACGGCACGCACTGCTTCTTTAAAGTGACATCCTTCAGATACTTGGTAGCTTTTCGGATGTGCATACCCTTGATGGCCTGGGCAGTTTCACGAGTGTTCTAAATATAATAATATAAACTGAGCGTTAACTATGTGAAAGGATCACCATTTCTAAAGTAACTTTAACATTAAATTCTCAGATGTTTAAAATGTCCACATATTATCAAGTGCTAAAACCTTTCCATTCTTGGGAGGTGAGGTAATACAGTGAGAAAAACGGATCTGTGATTGAGAACCAGGGGGGCTTGGTTTGAAGCTATGAAAAAACAAATCCTAAACCTGTTTATTCACTGTAGTCTCTTAAACTCCATATCTTATCCTTACAATTACTGTTGCATACGTTCATCTGTACACTCGGTTCGCAAGTAGTTCTCTAGTAGTTTTACCCAATTCCACAAATCCTACATCAAAGCGCTCATTATAAACTGATGGTTAAAGACAAAAAGGTGGCTGCTCAGAACTGATTAATTTTCACGGTAAATCCAAAGGTGTCCTAAGAAAAGCATCACGGCAGCTACCTTTTCAGAATAGTCAAAACACACCGGGACACATGGAAGACGCTTAGAGCATGACCATGATGCACCTACCTTAAAGTGGACACGAAGATTCGAACCTCTTGATTTGCATGCTAAAAGATGAGCAAAGCTTTCGTTAATTTTCGGCATCTTATGGTTTCTCTTACCCCAAAATAAGAAACATGCACCCCTTTCCTGTTCACTTACACTTTGTAGGGTTTTCCGGGTCAAGTGAGTAGCGAACCATTTTCGGAGATCACCTGCAAGGGAGCAGAGTTAATTCTGTCAATACACATCTACAGTAACTTACAGTTTAAACACGTATCAAATGCTACCAACAGCTGCTCAGAGAGTAGTTGTTTTCATGATTAATCCAAAGGTGTCCTAAGAAATGCCATCATCGCAGCTGCCCTGCTCTCCATCCACAGCCTGCATCCCCTTTACGTCTACCAGTGACTACAGCAGCGCTGACACCCGACTGGTGACAAGGACCTCATCACCCTCTGACCCTCGAAGAAGACAGAGCCTGTTTCCATCCAACTCGGGATCCTTCAGGCGTAAACCGACCCGGAAGAACTCGACTACAGCCCTCTACAGACCCCACCTGGGCTCACACGGCCTCCCCAGCAACGCTGTCCCTCCGCACACTTTCAGACTGCCACCACGCCAGCGAGTCTGAAACGCTCCTGCGCAAAGGAGCGAAGCCTCGATCCGACTCGACTCTATCGCTCCGCAACTTTCTCTCCTTGCGGCCACCACTCACCGCGAAACACTGGACCTCTGGAGTCGGAGGCCGTCCCGACCGCGGGCCGCCTGAAACCCCACCACCCCCATTCCCGTCCATCGCGCCCCTCTGCGGGAAGCAGAGACCGTACGCCCACGGCGCGCCAAGTCGGGCGCTCCGACACGTCCCCCGCGCAGAGGAACACCGCCTTCAGCGAGGAATCAGTAGTTGCCAGAGTCCTCTTCCCAGGGGTCTCGAGATGGGCACCCCCGAGGCCAGGATGGCGGCGATGATCAGAGGATTGAGCACTCGGAGACGTACCGCTACGAAACACTCACCTCAGGCCGCAGACGTGAAGAGGAAGAGCGGTAGCTTCTGGGAGAATTCGTGGTCACTCGACCTCTCGCGAGATTCCCCGCCGGGGGGGTGGGGGGAGCGAGATTTGAAGAGGGGAGGAGGAAAGCAAAGGAGAAAGGGAGTGTGGAATATGTTTTAGAAGATCTGAAAACGAGTTGACTCCTTAGAGACCGTCTCAAAATTCTCCTTTTTTTTCTATCTGGAAATAAAGATTTTAAATATCAATCAATTAAAAACAAGTTTGTAGTTCTAGGACAGGACCACGTATTATGAGATACAGACGAAACATTTATTCATCAACATTCGTTAGATTTGACAATGTGGTCACGTACCCCTGAAAGTGGTTTGTAAATGGATAATTAAGAAAATGCAAAGGATGGGATGTAATTAAGATAATCAGAAAATTCTCAGGATAGGAATATCACCCAATCAGTTGTACGGCAAGCTATGTAAAGGATGTGCTAGGCGAAGGGTCTGGGTCCCCACTGCCCCTTCTAGATCTTCATCTGGTAGAGAAAAACACTTGGGTATTATCTTCCCTTTATTCCTCCCCCAGGTCATTTATCTGGTTATTCTCTCACAGTCACTCGTGGTATTAGCACTTAACTTTAGCTCTTCTATTTCATGGCACCGTCACTCTAGGCAGATTTAAACCCCCAGTGAATGGACTCTGGATAACGCTCTAGGCACACTTGGTTCCTTGACCTGTTTCAGAGACCTCAGTCTCAGGTCCGTATCCCGGACTCCACTCCCGTTGCCAAATGATGGGTTCCATTGTCTTTCCCCAGTAATTCCCATCCCTCACATGGTTTCCATCGCAGGCTGAGAACTCCCAAATTACTATCTCCTCTCCACATCTCCCTCCTGCGCTAGCCCCAGATATCAAACCGCTCCCTGGACATCTTTCCTGAAAAGTCCCTGAAGCAAATACTTGAAACCTAAGGTGTCATTAAACTGAACTCATTATCTCCTTCCCCAGGGTCTACTTTTCTGTTGCGTAGTAATAATAACAGCCAATGCTTTAAAAAGCTTGCTAAGTTTCAAGCACTATTTCAGTGATTTTACATGCATTTCCTCAATTAACCTTTAGGACAACTGTTGAAAGATATTATTCCATTTTAGAGATTACTTCCATTTTATAAACGGTGAAGCTGAGGCACAGAGAAATTAAAGAACTTCCCCTAAAGTCCCAGAGGTAGGAAGTGACAGAACTGGAAACAAAGACACACTCCGGTGACCAAGTTCATCATCATTTGGCAATCCTGCCTCTCCCCTGCCTTGGCCAGTGGCTTCTCTGTGCTGTACACTAGATTCTTAAACCAGAAAGCTGGGAGATAATTTCTTCTATCTTTGCACGCATAAGTACTTAACAAAATCTAGATTACTGCTAGAGTCTTCTAAGGTGTCTTCTTGCCCCTTCCCCCCACATTCTAATGTATCCTCATTATTCCAGACAGAATCATTTTTCTAAGATAGCTGCCAAAATGTTCATGTCACTTTTCAGGTTCCGTTTTTTTCTGTGGCTCCGCTTCCAAATTTCTGGGGATGACTTAAGAGCCTGCCACCATCTGGCCTTTGCCCTCTTCATCTCTTACCCCTCCTTTCTTCTTCCCCTCCGCACTCGAACCATATTCTCTCTGATTTTAGGGAGAGATCAAGCCTATGGTTAAAGATTAGACACGCCACCTCATTTGACTCTGTGTTAGCCAGCACTGGATTAAACTAGAAGGAATTCAAACCTTTTGGGATGATTTCCTTTTGAGAGAAAGGTTTATCTTTTAGTGTCTCAATGATTTTCCTATAAAATTTAAAAGAACTCTTTAAATCGTATTTGATACATGTATTTCCTTCAATCTGTTGTTTGTTACTTCATTTTTATTTTACCATGTTAATTGTGCAGAAATCTTAATTATTAAAACAATAGTGAACTACAGAGTTAATCCTTAGTAATCCATTTATTTGTTCATTCATCCGTTCAACAAGTAGTTATTGACCACTTATTATATGCTTATCATTGTGCTTAGATGCTGAGCTCTAACAGGTACTAGGAGAGTCCCTAATTTCAAGGAGTCTTGAGGTAAGGGTTGGGATGGAGGGATAGGGAACTAGGAGCTGAACAGCCAATTAGAATAGACTGTAAAACTGGTAAAGTAGGGTGAGCATTGAGGACCTTATTAATAGCTCTTAGGGTGGGAAAGCCTCTCCTGAGAAGATGACATGGCAGCTGCACCATGAATGACCAGAAGGAGCTAGTTGGCTACAGCATAAGAGAGAAATAATTCTTGTTGCCAGCAGGAAAAGTTCTATTATGGGAACTATAGGTGTTCGGGTTCCTTTTGGGTTTGAATGGGGAAATATAAGGAGGAGAGATGAAACTGATCTTGAAGGATCCCATTGGTCTGCCAAGAAGTTTCAAATTTATCTTAAGGGTTAATGAGGGACTTTTGAAACCGTTTAAACCCTTGGGGGATGGGTGAGGTGACTTGATCAGATTCACTTTTGAAAGGATCGGTCTGGAGGGAGACATTTGGATGCCACAGAGGCAACACCAGAGGGTGGCAAAAGATGGTGGTGGCCTGAAGTGATCAGATTCAGTTCGATTTTTTTGAGAAGGAAAATGGAGAGTGGTGGATGAATTCAAGAGATTTTAGTAAAAGTAGCAGGATTTCACGATTGTAAGCTATGAGAGTTGGTAGCTCTGTAACTTTGCTTATGCTTTCTGATTGTGCTGCCAGCATCTGCTCATGGAGCCCGTGGCACAGTCTTCTACCTCTCTCGGTATAACAAAGGAAAACTAGCTTTATGGATGACGCCTCCCAGAGGTATTGTGTGTTGGATGGAAAGGAGAAGCGTGAATCCCTAAAGGAAGAATTTCATTCATAAGAAATTGGAGAAGTGTTTTTGAGGAATGGTAGGGTTTGAAGATGGGCCAGAAGAGGATCTTTCCTGCCAACCTCAGCGGACACCACTGTTCTGAGCAGAGTAAGGTCATTTGAGGAATAGCAGGAGAACTCTACTCCTCTCAGAGCACAAGGAGGCAGGCAAGGATCACATCAGGAGGGCTAGTTAGGGTCTCTAGGCCCTGACAAGGCCCTTGGAATTTGTTTTAATTGTCATGGAAACGCTTGAAGGGCTTTAAGCAGGGAGGGGGCAGGATAAGATTTATGCCGCAAACACATTGCTCTGAGTGCTCTGTGGGGTGCAGACTGTGGGGGGGCGAGAGAGCAAGCA